TGTCTTGGGCTTCAGAGTTTAGGCTTCCTGGCTCCATATGCCAGCTTAACAGGATGTCATTCAGGGATAATGGAAAAGAAAACGGAGACCACTACAATGGTAGATGTTAGGCTCATGGTTCCAAAGCCCTAAATCCTGAACACCTAAAACCTGCAACGGAATCAAGCATCCCCTTTGCTTGGCCCTTCATCCGCTCGCAGCCGTTTATGAACTCGTTTAAGGTGATGGTACCTGGGACACGTGAAAGCTTTAAGGTCCGGGGTCGAGGTTAGGCATATGCAGAGGCGGTTCAAAGAGGATGCTGGTAACCCTTATAAAGAGAATCAAGTAAAACAGCCAGGAAAACTGAAATTTAGCAGTGGACAAGAACGGGGTTAGATAGAAGGTTATACTGCGTAATAAGAGGTTTTCAGCTAAGCCAACCAACCAATACAAACAAAACAACTGTAAGAGTCGTATGATAGTCAGTGGGCTCTTGCTTTGGAGATTGGGTCACCAAAAACGTTCTTAGTTAGCGTTTGAAATTTATGTAGGTTTTCCGCAAAGCACCCGTTTTATGGGCGCCTTTCAGGTAAACAGGATCCCTGGCGTTGCTTTTTTTGTGGTTCGATGTGTTTAGGGTTTAGGGCTTTGGGTTAGGGATCCTAGTCGAACATTGTAACAAGCCCGGAACCCAAAACTCGCTACCCCAACCCCCAGAAAGTAAGCCCTGAAACTTCAGCCCTTCCCGCTAAGCACCAAGCCATTGACCCCACACCTTTACTGAATAATCCACTCCCAAACACGGGCCATAGGCAAAGCACACTGAAGCCACCAAGCTGTTTCAGAAATTGTTCCCTGCATACTCCTCAGAAGGGACCTCGTGATCTCACTATGCCGTTCACATGGGAGCTTGTCAAAATTCTAGATTGACTTGGAGTACCCATTAATATATTAGCGGCTGTATCTTTAAATTCCAAGCCCTAAAATCTGAACCCTGTGCCTGACCCATCGCGGTCCAGCAAGTCGGCCAGTGTCCGCGCATCCCCTGGCCGGAAGCCAATAATGTCGAAATAGGCCTCAGGTGCGCTACTGCCGTTCAGGGTTTAGTTTATAGGGTTTAGGATTTAGGGTCAAGGGTTTAGGGGTGGTATAGAGCTTGGGGCTCAGGGTTTTGATCTAGTCCCTACACACGAAACCCTGAACCCATTCTTTTGGTTGAGGGTATGGACTACGCTTCCGGGTGAACAGAAGGTTGCGGTCTGGGGTCTAAAAATCAGCGTGTGAGGCTTGGGGCTTAAGGTTTTGGGGTTCAGGGCTCAGGCTGTGGGCAAAGGATGACATGTCTATATATGCATATATATATATATACATGATATATGTTTTTAGAAGGATTTAGCAGCGTTTCATAGGGCTGTGGAGGCAGGAAATGCCCTAAGAGTGTACTCAGCCTCTTTTATAGCGTGAGGTAGCGCGAGGCAGGATACTTGGTAGTTTCCAAAAAATAGGGAAACCCCAATATAGAGGACTTATGATAGAGACCCCTCGAAAGGTACCCCTAATTTTGGGAATCCCCCACTTGGAGATCTCTCGTTGAAATCTGGGGCCAAAAGGGGGAAGGCCTGCGGCACTGTGGATCAAGGAAATCTTGCAAAAGCTACATAGCCCTAATACTTGTAATCACCGTACTTTAGTGGTGCAAGTTTTCCTCCATCCACCGTGCTTCCAACAACAAAGATCCCCCTGCTTGACCACAAAATGCTCCAATCTGTGTCCTCCAGACAACACAGGCAGACCTTTTTTCGGCCTAAGCAGTATGGCCCCGATCGGGTGTGCAGCGCTTGTCACTGCAAAAAGTACATGTAAGGAACCTACTGTTATAGCACCTTAGTAAGGTCATTGTAACCCTAACGTAACGCATGAAAAGCAGTTTCCCTAACCCATTTGTAACTCCAGGGTCCCCCAAAGCAGATTAGGGCCTGCCTGCCTGGGGCTTGTTGAGCTTTAGGGTTTAAGGTTTAGGGTTCCAACTAATTCGATTCTATCTGGGTGAAGGATTGCAAGGAGGGCTGAGTCACTGAGCGATTCAAGTAGGCGCACACTTCGCAAACACCAACATGTTAAAGGTGATGCCCAACTGTCCGCAGTCTAGATTTTACATTTTGCTGATACTGGATTATGAGCCCCGCAGGATTATACCAAAACGAAACATTAAAGTGTTTTACAGCATGCTCCGCACATGCCAGCCCGCAACGGGTTTCTTTGTATATCAGCGCACGTATGCATTCATGCATGGATGTTTGTTCATGTGTGTCGGCATACGCCCTTACCATAAGAGATGTGCAAAAAGCATCATACCTTTTTTTAAGAAAAAGAAAGGTACTGTGTGAGCCCCCCCCCAACACAACTTAAAAAAAGGGGTCCTGTAACATTCCACTCTCTACATCTAAATACATAGCCACATAGATACACGTACCAGTGAATGCGCAGGCAAGCTTACACATATGTGTATATACATGCACACACATGTTGGCGTGTGAAACCCTCTTGCTCAGGGATCCATGGTCTGCATGATCGAAATCTGCGTGCTCTGCCATGCTATCCAGGGTACGTTCATCACAGGATCTTGCAGCAGTTCATGGATTTCTTGTAGGCTAATCGTCCCATCACCTGGGAACGATGTGAGCAAGTAGGGGGTTTCCGAAAGTTAGGGGTCTCGCTTCAGGGCAAGGATTCTAGCGTGTTGGGGTTAGTGTTGGGCTCCCTCATTTTGTGGAAAACCACACATTACTGAAAGAGTTCAAGTAGGTAGGGAGCTTGCCTGGCATCGTATTCTGAGGGACCCTGGAGTTACCAATGGGCTGCTAGGTCCCTCTAGAAGGGTTTTAGAAGGACATACATTGATGTGGAGTTTAGGGTTTGGTCTCTGGGGTTTGGAGTTACCCAAAATTATACTGGGTTACAATATGGGGCCTATCAGGAAGACATAGTCTGGCCTCTACCTCCAGTGTCAATCTAAGTACCTCATTAGCTTCTAGAAGGACATCCAGCGCATGGCAGGGATGCCCCTTTTGGGAAAGAACATGTGACATGTGAGGGTTTCCCAGATTAGGGGCGTATGCATTAGGTGGATCCCCCACCGTGTAATAGTACTAGAATATACTTGAATAGAAAGAAAAGAAGACCCTAATATAATTACAGGGAGGGGGTCCACCTAACCTATGCGGGTGTTTCCATCCCTTTGCAACGTTCTATCCGCAGTCAGCGGCATTGCGACCACACGAGAACCCTAAAAAGCCACAGGCCTGAAACTGGGTTGCTTAAATTAAGCTACCATAATATGAGTACATAAGATATACATGTAGATGTAGGGTCGTACCAGAGTATGGGTACATTGACACAATACATGATCGGTTTTCCTTATTACAGTAACTCCATCTAAGTTCCTTGACAGCAACCCAAGAAAACAGGGCTTCGGCCGATGAGGACCACGCAGGTAGATTCACGCTGCTTTGCAGAAACTTACCTTTGGTTAGCTAGGAAAGAAGGAATCCTTATTCGAGCAGAACCATAATGGTAATTTCCATGGTCTTTTCCATTCCTTCTAAACCCCAAACCTTAAACCCTACACCTATATAACCCATTAGAGCAATTTGCATGTTCTTCTCCATTCCTTCACCCCAGCTAACCAAAGGTACGAAAAGTTGAGGCTCCCACCATCCAGGTCGGTTGCCACAAAAAACCTTCAGGCGTAGCATTCAAGATTTCAATTTAAGATTTAGTGTTGGGGTTTAGGGTTTACGGCAGGGAAAAGCGGTGCAATCTGTCTTGGACCTGTGTACCTGCACTTTCGTAATTGCGAAATATGGAACCAAAACATTAAGGTGAACGCATCAAGGAAAAGACACTACTCCTCCTTAAGTAGATAGAATATGAGATATATGGGGATCTTATTGTATACCCAAAGCAATATTCTATCTACTTAAGGAAACTATACATGGAAGTTCTAGGTTTTGAGGTCTTAGGCATCCCAATCCCAAGAAAATTTCTGGCTTCAGTTCAAGGACTCGATGATTTGATCCAAACCCATCCGCTTCTTCTCTAGCGCCTCCTCCTCAGCACAGCACGCAGAAGGCACTTTCAGGGCGTGAGCCATTTTCAAAAAGACTTAGCTGTTGATGCTTAGAGCTTTAATGGGTGCTGGGGGGGCGGGAGATGTAAGTACTTCCGACCAGTTCCCAAGAAATCGCTAGTCTCGATATCTGAGCATGTTTTGCGGGCTTACTTGGTTTCCTACATAGGACATCAGTTGAAGTTATATCACAGACATGTCACGATCTGGATCTGGCGTTGCTTCTTCGAGTTCTGAACAGCATTATCCACGAATACACCTGCAGCAGAGGCCGCCAACTCCATACGCTGCGAGATGATGGTTTCGGGTCTAGGGTCCATAAAGAAGGCGCCCATGCAAAGATACTACTGCAATGATGCTTCGTACGCTTCCTGTATTGTTACTATTACGAAATGAAGTACAACTACAAGCGAATGATCTTGGGGCAGTACTATTTTGACAAATGCCCACAGGAATACATCACGTTGCGGAAGCAAAGCTTTCAAAGACGTTCACGCAGCATCAAGAATCAGAAGGCAAACAAACTGAGCAGTGCCAATGACTAATTATGACAGCTTGCAATATCGATCAGATACTCTGAGGGACCCTGGCGCAGCCTTCGCACATACAAAGGCAAAACACTGCAGCCATCAGGAAGACAAGCACACATCGTCGACCCAAAAGCTCTGGAAGCATGATGCTCTCCAATTTTGCATGAGTTCCGGCCTGTGAAGACATTCAAAAGCGCCAAGATGGTAAAAACCAAGTAGGCGAACATCAGGCAGAAGGAAAGAGCATCAACATACCTCAGTTGGTACCCCGCCGCTAATTGTGACTGCACGCAGATAATAACAACTATGTGCTGAATCAGTGTTGAAAGCCTATTGTAAATACTACAATCCTTATTAAGGGGACCCCCAAAATGGTACCCCTAATTTTGGGAAGCCCCACATTGTTGTACCACAACTAGCGGATGTTAGTGCTGGCGGGACAACCAAACAAGGAAGGACATCTGTAGAGCCTTTGGAGAGACGAAGAGTTCACCATTGCAATGAGATGGGGATCCTAAATCTTAAGGACGGTACAGGAACCATTTTGAGAAATCCCATCCAACTGCCCCAACGAACTCAACAGCCTGCCAATTAGCGTGCCAGGCCAAGAAAGTCCTTCATATCCGCGGCGCAAACCCGAAGCACCCCAAACCTTGCTCCACGTGAAGTCACTTCCAGCTCCAGTCCATGCTCTGTCCAAAGCTCCACTCCACTCGACTCCACTCCACGCTGTAGGCCGTGCACTCCGTTCCACTCCACCCCTTCTGATCCTACCCCCTGCAATCCACCCCCACCCCCCACTTTTCCAGTCTCACGCTGCCTACTCCACACATAAGGACGCACGTCTCAGGAACTAACAGGATTTGCCCTACTCTACCCTAGCAAGCCCGCCTTACCCCCACCCCAGAGTCCACAGCCCTGGCCCTAGTCACTGCCCTAGTCCATAAACAATGCAGGGACGGAAGGTTCAGGACAAAACCGGTCTTGTTTTCGAAACATGTGCCCCCTGGAATCCGTTCTGAATATGACATGATATAATTACCATCAAACCTCAAATCTGAGTAAGGCAAGCTGCAACAAGGCATCCGTGACCTCATGCCAGCTTATCCCCCCCAGCGTCGTCTGAAAAAGCGTGTAGGCACTTCTTGGCACGCTGCCGAAGAAGTGGTGCACCTCGAGGGGTTCCTAGACTTCCCGAATACATAAGACTGGCCTTTTTAACCCGTGGTATCCGGGTTAAAGGCCAGGATTTTAGGTATTCGTGAGGTCTAGTCTTAAGCTTTTCACTAGATCTCGTTTTTACTAGATCTCATGGCGGCTCGGGGAGGCCTGAATTTAAGTAAAGGTCAATCGGTTCATCACTCAGGGTTTTGTACTTCCTGCCCCTCGCAGAACATCAATGGCCGCGCAATAAGCATTGGAAACAGCGAGAAGGGAACAGCAAACAGACTATCATGACATGATGGCCACAAGGCACATACGAAGAGCAAGTGAAATTTGTCGCTAGCAAGAAATCATTCAAGACATGTGAATCACTCAGAGAATTCCAGGCCTCCCTAACCCCAAGCTGGGTTGTGCTCGCAATATCCGACTCCCAGTCAGGCTTTGCGAAGTCAACTTGCCCCTTCAGCCAATCTGTGCAGTTGCTTGTGAGCGTGATAGCGAAGATGTACATTATGAGGACGAACCTCAACGATTTGGAGTTTGGGGGCTGTTCTCGAAACCTGAGTAGAAATTGCCGTGCCGCCCGCTCCGACTAAAAAGAACATCAAAAACTCTACGCAGACAATCCGCTGACAGTTACTTTAATAGAGATGCAAGCCCCAAATTCAAAGAGTGCCCAGAAACATGGAGAGAGCCCACATGAGCTGTTTGACGGATTCGGCCACCATCAACGCTAGCGTGGTCAACTGCTGAAAGAATCTGAATACTCGGAATAGGCGAACCTGTGTCTGTTGAATCAGTTTCACATTCTCCAAGGTGCTCTAGGGTATGGCCTGATAGGGACCACATACATTGCTCGGGGATCACTTGCAGCCTCTTAGGTACAGGGTGCAAGCTGCTTCCAAATTTGTCCAAAAAACTACGCGAATCATCTTCAAGACCTTGAGGCTGGAGAGAGATGTCGAACTATCCCCCAGCAGAAGCAGAACAATATCCAGTATGCTGACTCCCATGAGGAGGAAGTCCACAATATTCCACCAACGGCTCTCGTTGATGAAGAATTGGATAAGACCAGCATGGTATAGCCGCACCAGCACTTCAAAAATGAACCAAATTCCGAAGATGATGCTGCTCGTCCTTGGCGAGGGTTCTCGGAAACTGGAAGTATGTACCGCTTCTACAGAGATGTATGGGGATTACTTGCCCCAATATATAACGGGGAAGCAACTTGCAACAACTGAGAATCTGATGGAAGAGGGTCTGAGACCATGCTTTCGTCTTGTTAGGGCTCACTTCGCACTAACAAGCGATAGGCCCTAAACCCCCACGATTTCACCCTGCATCCTAAAAGAAAAACACTAGCCAATCACTACGGGTTTGCTCCATCATGCCCTAGAAGCGGATGGAAGATGCAAAATAAAACAATAGCCGGCACCATATTTTGGTTTATCAGCCTTGGGGTATAGGAGATAGGGTGCGTAGGGACTTTACTATCCTGTTTGCGCGTATATCATGCTCCTAAGGAGTATTCTTTCAAGCATATATTAATATATCAATTCCAAAGTAGACCCCAACATACAATAATCCTTGTATAGGGGCCCCCCAAGAAGGATCCCTAATTTTGGACAACCCTAAGCCCTATATACCCCTACACAACTCTTATATACCCCCCCAAGAAAAACCCGGTAGCAACATAATCCTGAAACCCTAAACCCCCTTGTGTAAAAACCATGGGTCATGTACGGGAGGCTCGAATCTTGGTTGGCTGATGTGTACTGAACCTCGAGCCCTAGCACGATCGAGTTGACCTCATGGCGTCTTTCTTGGAGAGGGTTTTTTAGAGTTGTTGGGGTTTAGGGGGTTTAGGGGTTTAGGGTTTAGGGTTTAGGGGTTTAGGGTTTAGGGTTTAGGGGTTTAGGGTTTAGGGTTAGGGGTTTAGGGATTGGGTTTAGTGAATGACGAATTCTGAAAGCAGACGGACAAGAACAACTCCAACAGGTTGTTGTGACACTGGAACGCAGTACCACCTTGCTGGTCCCTAAACCCTAACCCCTAAAGACTAAACCCTGTAGCAGTTTCCATTCTATTCTCCGTTCTCCCAATACATTCCCTATATATCCCTTACATAATCCGCTTCCCACCCTCACCACAATCATTCGCTGCTGCATGGAGGGCGTTCAAACTGGGAAGCTCTCAGGTTGGAACCCTGGGCTCCTAGAATTAGGCAGGGACAGGGTTTAGGGTTTGAGGGTCAGGGCCGGTCAGGGTTTAGGGTTTAGGGTTCTAGGAGCACTTGGGGTCCTTAGGTACCTGCCATATAGCTGATAAGCCCATTGGAGCCCATGCAGGGTCTATAACTAGGACTCAGGTACCAGATAGCGGCTTTCAAGTGAACGCAGAACCCTCTCCCCAGCTAAACCTTGGACCAAAGCACGTCAAGATACACATAAACATGTCCTTCACACTGCACAAGTCAAAACACTTGCTCAACACAAGCGGCTACGCGGAATTCAGCAGGTAGAGAAACACAGTTAATTACCCGAGCAGTTCCCAGCTTCTGACGTGTTTCTGAGGCAGGCACAGCAATCAAGAATGCGGCCTGATGCGGATCTGGGGTGTATGGGGGTTGAGTATGGGGCTTAGAACTTAGAGCTTACATGCGACAGCTTGCTTGCGACGATTTAAGGCATGCACAAACGAGCTGCCACAAACGGGGCTTGTCGAAAACAATGCGATTGTCTCCTCATGGTGATCTGAACCAAGCTAAGCTACAACATCCCGGACGAACACGCAAAGATGACATCAGGATCTATTTGCCATGTTGGCCAGCACAAGCGGCAATTCAACTCTATTCTGTGTAAACGACAATTTGTGGGTGAGGTCCGACGAGGTAACCTCCGTGTAGTTCATGTACAGCCTTTCTATATGCTTGTGCCCAAAGCTTAGCCATGGTCGTTTGATGTCTTCCTCACCTGCTCGCGAAGCAAGTGCCTGCCACCAGCACATCGAACTATCCACTGAAAGAGGAGCCATTTCAAAAAATTCCTGAATGCCCTGCCCGAAGAAGCATCGAGAGGGATCGGACAACATGCCAATGCAACCCAATCCTACAGCTCTTCAGACGGCTCTGGATTATAGCTTACACGCATCACGGAAAACCCCCGGGACATTCACCCTGTCAGTCGAGAAACGGTCGCTTCGAACATGAGCCAGCGGAGCTCGCTGTTTCCGGCCTCGTCTTCCTCAAGCATCCAGATACATTAAATAGACTCTAATCCATGGTTTACATCCTTGCACTGACCATGAGACTGCGTGTAGCTCAAATGGTTTCGGGGATGCCGGCAGTAGATCCAAAAATGATGTCACTATCAAGGCCGGATATGAAGCGCATGGACCATGGTGATCGAGGACCACATTTGACGGAGCGAGGGAAGCAACAACAAGAAGAGCAAGCAGCAACCTGACAAACAACAGAAGCTACTGGAAGAAGGCAGGCATGCTCCGGCAAAGGGTGAGCATGCAGGAGACGGAGAGCTGGCTTGCAAAGAGTCGAACAGCCGGTGTTGGCCTAGCAAGTGCGTCATGTTGGACACTGGCATAGCAGGATGCAATGAGTGCTTGCAGAGTGGAAGGCGAGGGAATAATTTCTTGCGGCGATTCCCGTAGACCCATGTTTCTACTCGCAGTGCTCACCTCTAGATTTCTCCGTTTTCCACGTTCCAAGCGCTGTCAAGCTCAACCTTGGTGGGCTCTGCACTGTCAACAGGTGCCGTTTGCCCCCGCGGGCCCTCGCGCGCGGCCTCATGGGGCATGGACCTACCAGCGCACGTGCAACCAATGGGTGGCATAATGCCATTAGCATGGAGTCTTGAGTACCGCGGCCATTTTTGTAAAGCTTCAGCCAATGCTCTTTGCAAATTATTCTCTTCCCGGCGCTTCAGTAGCATTTGCGCCGTGCTACGAAACACATGAACGCGTGCCCACGCAAATCATAGAAGAAATGCTGGTGGTGCGCCCCATACAAGCTTCACTTGTTCTGTTCATCATGGTTCCTCGGCTCATGAGCCTGGCGCCAGTCCTATTGCATGTGCGGTATAAGCTGCGGCTACATACAAACTTGGCATGGCAGACTGTCAGTAAAATCATAAGCCTCAAACCCTACATGGTAGTGTTCATAGCATTTTCCATGTTATTTTCCTTTGATTCTCCATAATATGTCACAACAGATCCCCCATAGTACTCCGTATAACGTTCCTTGACTTCATCCCCCCGGCAGTCCTCAGAGTCCTCATCTCTTCCCATTGCCATCTTCAGCAGCTGTTCGATTTTTCTGACAACGGACTGGTTGCGCGACGATTCAAGTTTTGCGCGAGCATGCTCCAGCCGCTTCGTGATGCTGAAGTCGCCAGCAGCGACGTTCACGTTCGCATCCGTCTTCACCAAGTGTGTGAAGCCTCAACTGACTAGCTGTTGGGGCAGCACAGCCTCAAAAGATAGGGCCCCAGGTAGTGAATACAGAGATGCGGGACCCCATTCTCCCAAGGCTTGCTGCTGTGGGCAGGGGAAGCAAGGAATCTACGGTTTTGTCATTGCAGGCATCTATGCCTGCACTCCCCATGAAGAAGCAAGAACTTATCTAACTCCTGCTGCGGATTGATGTTTAAAATGGGCGGGGTTCTCGGATTGGGGCGGGCCTTTAGGGAATCAACGGGTCTATACGGATTACAGGAGGATGATTTGGATCCCTTGTAAAGATTAAGTAGGGGGCTCTGAGACACCCCCAGAAAACCTTCAAAGGGCGCTCAATTGAAGATGGCAATCAAGAAGCTCATTGTTGGTTGAAGACTTGAACATGACCTGTTGGATGGAAGAACTCCACCCTAAACCCTAGACCGCACCATTCAGCCTAAGGCTTCAGCAAAGGGCTGTCTCTATCAAGTTCTTCTACGAGAATATTCCGACCGGCGTGTTAGGGTTCAGGCTGCGCGCTACTTGAAGGACCATGGGACTTAGCAACTGCTGGGCTACACCCTCACTTATACTTGGGGTAAACTACAGATGTCGAGCTAGGAAGGTTCTTATTCGGTTAAACGCCGGGCCATAAGTAGTTGCAAGCTCAACCTTCAAGTAGAAGGGCTTGGGGCTTAGAGGGGGGAATGTGCTTCGCAAAAGAATCAAATCCGTATGATGATCAAAATCAACCTTCCTCAGCACGCCACCTCAGATCCTAGTCCATAGGGATCTTGCAAAGTTGTACATGTGCCTGACTTAAGCCCTCTGTGATCCTCAACTAAGGAACGGTCCAGCACTGGCTCACATGAAGCTCACCTGTGTAATGTTGTTTTAATTTGTCATTGATCCAAGGACCATCATGTCCTTCCAACCCCAAAAATCCAGATCTCGCGCTGTTGGGAACTACAATATCCCTAGAAACGGCGACCCCGCTTGCATATAAGGCGTGGCTTCTGGTGGTGGCCTTGTGTACCTGACGTACTAGAAGACTATGGTAATGAACATTTCTTTGCCAAGGCGGGACTTTTAAAACAGTCTCAAAAAACGAGGCGTTCTCAGGGACATGAGGTATACATTGGAGTTGTAAGGGAGGCATGGGGTTGCGGCTATGGATTTTATGGAGCTGGTTTATAGAAGCTCTGGTGCTTCATCACTATGCACTAGAGTATCGCTAAAGAGGAGCGGAAGATCATGCCGTCCCGCAACATCACCACATTCGAGGCTCAGGTTCCACAATTAGACAACATATGAGCTATAGTCTAAACTCCTTAAAGGGGGTTATATAGGGGATTATATAGGGGACTACTACAGGGGTTATTTAATAACTAAGGGGGATACTAGGAGTTTAGACTATAGCTCCTTTGCCCTTGAAGACTAGTAGTTTCCATTCTGAACCAGTATAGGCTCCCCGAACGTATTTTTCCGTCCTGGCCCCTTACGCTCTGGAAGAGTCACCTTTTACCGTTCTGCCCAGCTGTTTTGAAAGAGCAATAACTCAATGTAAGCTTTCGGGGCCCTTGCGACAGATGTACAAATGAAATATATTTTCTTTGAAGCAGTTGCCTAGGGATATGTTATGGGCTTGCGGGCGACCGGGGCACAGAGACGCAAGGGCCGCTTTAGATACCAATAAAAAACGAGGAGCAAGAACTTCCGTTCTGCAACGTGAAATAATACTCTACCCTTTTGCACCATGCTATTCTTGTGGAGCAACCCTAACACAGCAGGTTCTTAAGATGGCATCCTCCGTCTATCAACTATATGAGCAATTGTCTAAACTCCAAGTATCTCCCTTAATAACCCCTATACTACCCGCCTATACAATCCCCCATGTACCCCCCTTTAAGGAGTTTAGACTGTAGCTCATATGGAAAACTGGAAAACACAAAATCCGGTGGCTAGGTCCTGAACAGCCAAGGATCCCCAGGCGCTCCCTCAACTTTTTCAACCCAAGCTTTAGGTTTTAGGGCTTAGGATTTAGTTTAGGATTTAGGGTTTGGGAACATTTGCATAGGGTTCATACAAACTAGGCAAGTAGATCACGAGACACTAGTTCCATCTATCAGAGTAATATGTTAGATCAGGCTCCGCCGACTCAATACCTCAACCAGAAGAGGAGCATGCCACGGTCTAGGGACCCCAAACCCTACCTGGCCCCAAGATGCCGCACCTTTTTCAATAAGAGGGTTTTGGGGACCCCAACCCCCAAAATTAGTACCGTATGGCTATCATATGATGACTCTAGGGTCCTTATTTTGGGGTGGGGCTACCAAAATCCTTTTATCATTTTTAGAATATACAGTACCTTACGCATGTGCAGGACACCATCCCGAAAAAGGAAGGACATCCAGGGTCCAGGTAAACCTCAAACACCCTAAATCTTAATCCCTCAAACCTGTTGTATGACCTAAGTCCTGGGTCCCTCAAAGAAGCGAAGCCCTGAACCCTGAGCCCTAAACCCTAAACCCCAAACCCTGAGCCCTAAACCCGAAACCTTAATCGCTGGCACCATAGATTCGGCATCCCTTTTCACCGCAGGCTCTTCTGCTGGCTCAGGCGTCTCCTTGCAAGAACCCAAAAAGCCCAATATGGCTTTAAGGTTTAGGGTTTAGGGGTTAAGCTTTGGGGCTTAAGGCTTAGGGGTTAGGGTTTTAGGAAATATACCGCAACCAAGGGGTATTGGGCTTTTTGGGAAGTATTCATAGAATGGGATCTTGCCCCAGTATGTGACAGTATGTGAGTTCTTCAAAAGCGCTTACAGTACTGCGGAGTATCTGTGAGGCCTATATGGGATTGTATAGGGAATGAAAATTAAAATGGAAAGGAAGATAGAAAATGAGACTGAAACTGGGGTCACATCGACGGCTAAGGGGAAATTGAGTTTAGGGGAACTACAAGCGTGAATTAAGAACTGTTGCTTTGACTCCCTAGCTTGGTTCGCATGGTATAGTGAGGTATATAGGTGTTAACTATGTAGGTAGGATCGCCCATTAGGTGGGTGTTCGATTGTATTAGAATACTGACAATCTTTGGGTTCGTGCACTCCCACAATCCACGTCGGGGAAAGAAAACAGAAACAACACGGCATTCCAAAACTAGCCATTCAAAGAACACTGCCCTTTTGAAGGCGTGTATATGGGCCTGGGGTTCCGTGTCAATTTCGGGGAGGGTAGGCATTTGATAGTTTCCCACAGTAAGAGGGCCTCAATGTAGATCCCACCAGTATACTATAATCCTCATTATGGGGACCCCCATAAAGGTACCCCTAATTTTAGTAAACTCCCATTTCCCTCGCGCCTCGGCAAGAGGAACTCCGTTGCCCTCCTCGTAGGACAGGTGTTTCACCTTTCGGAAGGCCACAACACATCAAAGCAGAGAATCAAATGGACAATGCAATGGACACTCGGGCTATATAGATTTGTTGTAGTTATTGGTACTAATCCCCTACTCCTAGAGATAAAGCACCCGCCCCCACCCCGTCGCCCTCACAATGACTGTTCCGAGTGAGAACGGACGGTAGCTTGGTTATTACTGTGGGAGAAAGTCAAACGCATTTTACGAGTGACAGCGTTGTGGCAGAATCACCGCCGCAACAATACAACACGGGGAACCGTCACAAGTTTCTCAACCTCAAGATTGGTCGCATTTGTTGCCTGCCAGCATCAAAAACCTCCTCACAGACGGCTCTGCACTTCAACTAGCATCGCACAAACCTCAACCCAACCCGAGGCTCTGAACCCTAAATCCTTCACCCTGAACCCAACCCTAACCTCACCCACGCATTTAAACTGACAACCAGAACCCTTCACTTTGCCTTCTTGGACGATTTGACCTTCTTCTTCCTGGATGTTGCTTTAGCCTTGCCGACACGGGGGATGCCCAAAACATGTATAATGTCTTTGGGGATATCCCATGGATGCATAGGAATTAGAGCCCAACCTTGAGGATCCAGGACTTCTCCACGAAAGTCTCAACAAGGAGTACTTCGATTGTTCCGGCCGGGTGCTTGTACACTGCGTGCTGAGGACTTTGCCAATACAATGTAGGGCCTATGAACGATTGCCAAAATCATTCTCGTATATGTCCGGATCTATTTGAGGTACCCTGTACAGTGACTCAATCTTCATGAATGCTGCAGGCTGGCAAACTGAACAGAGGCGGGCGGTTGTGAAACTCCCTGAGCCAGGCAGGAGGCGCAACCAGCGGGCATCCCAAAACCCTTCGTACCTTGAACCCTAAACCCAGCCTCATAGTTTGGCAGGTGAGAAGATGCATGGGGAATGCGAGATGGACATCTCGTTAAAATGCGACGTGGATCAGGCATAGTCCATTCAAGCTAGGTAGGGCTGCAGCCATCAGACGCACTAGAAAAGCCAGGCTCGGACACGGCCGAACATGCAAGGGCTGATGGGCTAGCCTGCAGCTGCACATCCATGTTCTTCGTGAGCTTCTCCTCAGCAACTTTGTTTTATTTCCACCTGGGGCTCTAAAGCCTCGTAGGTATGTAGGACTAGCTTCAGGAAATTCCTGTTGCGTTCAGGAAGCCTAGAGCATGCCTTCATTGAAGCCAGTCTGACTTTCAAGTTTCTAGCTGCGACACAATTTCACGCTAGAGGCCAAGCATCCACCTCTGCTTCAAGTTGTTGACGGATCGTCTTGTGCACCTGAAGATCCTGCATCGAGAGGCCAAGACGAGACATCATGATGTTTTAGCATGGTCTTCGGTGGTCAGGCTGCGAGCGGATATCTGTTTATACCGCGGATCGGTACCTAGGGGTGTAAGCACGCCTAGCAGACTGACATAGTCTGCCGGAACATTGCTTTAAACCCTAAACCCTGCACCTTTAATAGACCATCTTGCTGAAACCCTTCTTGTCCTGAGCTCTCCTACCTCAAGGACCCTTTTAGCACTCCAAACATGAATTCCCAAGCTAGTTTGGGTTGGGTCAATACCACAGACAGTCCCATAGCTTCTCGTTTCCGTACATAAGGGAACCCCAATACAGTAGACCCCAATATGCAATAACCCTTATGATGGGAACCTCCAGAAGCCTACCCTTGATTTTGGGAAACCCTAAACCCTATAAATCCCTATATATCCCTACTTTGCCCGGATATGCCTGCTTAAGCCCTAAATGCTACAAAGCTGTCCTGAAAATGATTCCTTTCCAGTGCCGCAAGCTGTTCCAGAAAATTTTCATGCGAGGACTTTACCTGCCAAAAGAACTGGGTTCAGGGGCTTAGGGGCTTAGGGGTTTAGGGTTTAAGGGGTGTTGCCCCATAAGTTGGGAACTCAATGAAAAAGACGTGGACAATCAAAAGAAGAAACTGCTATTTGGGTTTCAGGCTGTGCTCGTTTTGAGGGACCCGGGATTTACTGATGGGCTTGGGGACTTGTCATGGGTTACACTAGGGTTGTAGTGGTGGTCGTAGAGGGCCATAATATGTGCCATAACTCCAGGACCCCTCAAAGTACAGAGTTCATGGGTCTTATGGTTTATGCGCTTCAGAGGATTTATGGGGTTTATACAACTTTTGAGGTTGAAAACACCACCTGGAGGGTTGGGGGCGACTTACCCTGAGTATACCTATATCCCCTGAAGAGCTATAACAACCCCGGTCCGCAATTTCAACCTACTTACTGCGTCCCTCTGACCCTCCGAGTAGACAGGCGATCTACGAGGGAACAATGTTTTCTACAAGAGTTAAATATATGACCTGGTTACAATTTGGGGCTTTGCCTCATCCAACCCTCCCCCACCTGCCAAAATTAGTAAACCAAAAACCAGCGCCTATGCCGAGTTGCATGCTTGCTTGGGGGAGGGGAAGCTTCTTTGGACCCTACGTTCATCTAAAGAACCCTGTGCCTCATAGAGAACGCTTTGCCTCACCCAGAACCGTAGGAAGGAAGAGGACCAACCAACAGCATATGGCGGCTCCTGGCAAGCCCTAAGCCCTGATAAACCCAGCAGCAGCGGCCCCCATCAGTAGCTAGTAGCTACTTGGAGGCCCACACCACAATTCAGCTCTTGTCTTTCAATGTAGATGCCCCTGTGCAAATCGCGATCATACCCGCGCCATGACAGGCCGTGCGGCTAAAACCCTGAACCCTAGACCCTAACCATCCCTATGATACAGACTGCCTGGAGCAGGGTCGTGCTGAAGAGCTCCTGTTTTTGCGCATCGAAGTCTTCGAAACCTGCTTGCACATCTTCTGTTTCGATAATCACAATAATCAATCAATAATAGTACTAATACAAAATATTGTAGTAGTGATAATAACAGATTTCTGCGTCTGGCGGCTTTGGGTACCCAATCTGATACACATGGCCGGGCCTGCAACGACTGCTAACACGTAGGACCGTGCTTGCGTGGTTGAGCGAACCACCCGACAAGCACGAAATCTGCAGGTTTTGGCAAGTCTTCTGCTACTTGCTTATTATGCGCAGCACCCAATCTCAATTCAATATTGGATGTTAATTCAGACTAATACTTTGACCAGGGGTCACCGGGAATTTTCCAGACAACATGATGCATTCTCATTGCGAAACAAGCCGCAAGCACACATCAAGCGCACATGCAAACTTGCAGCGCAGAATTACATAAGCAAAAAATAGGAACCATCAGCTGGCCCCCAAAAAACATGGCGTTGAATCTCAATGTTCTTGCAGAAGTGTTTTCTCGGATTGTCGTACAACTACACAGAATTCTGAGTCCAGACAACACATCTTTTACTGAAGCGCTCATAATCAGCACATCTGCAAACATGTGCGATGCTGTTGTTAAATGCTTCTGTCTCATGCACGATCGCTTTTTAGCATCCGTAATTTCAGGACATGTCCAGATGTACGCCCTTGGCAATCTATCAGGGGCAGGACTCCCCTTCATTTTTTGCAGTGGGTTTAGGGTTTAGGGTCTAAGGTTTGGGGTTTAGGGAAGCATACTGTGCAGGATTGGCTTGCTTTTCTAATACTCCTGGAGCCAGAAATCATTCTGCTAATTTCATGCCTTTTGAACCCACTGTCATGCACAACTCCTGCCTGCGCCTTGGACATGTTCACCATCCTTCTCGCCGATAGACATTGCAAGAAACAAGCGCTTTATGATTCCTGTAGCTGTTGCTACATTTTGGTTCCTGTTGCTATTTGCGGGTCCTTCGGGCAATCAATTAATGCTGTGCTCGAGCTGACTAAAGCGAAAGCTGCAGTAGGTGTCACGTGCTTAAAGCAAGGGGCTCCTCAACCAAAATGGCTCCCAACATCCTGTCTCATGCCATTGCCCCTAAACCCTAAACCCTATAAACCCTAAACCCTAAGCCCTGAACCCTAAACCCTTAACCTAAAAACCGCAAGAAATTTGATGTGTGTGCCGTTCATTGGGGTTCGGGGCTCAGGGCATCTGAGGGCTCAGGGCTTCGGGTGACAGGTTTGCCGGGGATGCATTGAAGTTTCCACACACCACTCAGAACTCACCTTCGGACGCTTGTTGTTCAAGCACAGCTTATAAGGTGTAGTAGAGTGTGATATAACACATTGATGGAGCATCAAAAGAAATCAAAATGGAACAATATATGGAAACTTGGTTTATGCAGTGGGGTTTGTACGGATAGCTTTTCAAACTCGCCCACATCCAACCATCTTGGCTAGCCCTTGCCTGCCAAATCCAACGGCATCCCAAAAAAGCTGCACAAGAATGCCGTCTGCATGGACAAGACTGGGCGTCAATGGATGCTCCCACTTAGTGGGGCATGCCATCAAAGCTGCACAACCCCGAGTTCCAACTGAACTCAGGCCAAACGCATAAAGGGAATAGCGAATCAGTTGGCTCTCTCATCTCCAGCATTTCTAGGACCTCAGCTCTGTGCACAGCACAGTCGAGGGCAGATGGCAGGTGCCAAAGCATGTTCGTTCATAGCCTAACTGATTTCCAGTGCACATACATGTTTTCCCCCACCCCTACCTCCACAAAGGCATGCTGCCATGTCAGACAAATTCCGTACGGACAAGAAATCTGATCAAATTTCTCTGCTTAATTTGAAGCAGCCTAAACCCTGTGTCTCAAACATCGGGGATCTTTTGGGAAATCGAATGTGAGGGGGTTGAGTGTGCGACATATCAGAGAGGGATTAACGTATTCGGCTGAAGGAGAACCAATATTCTGGTCCTAAATTCCGTGTATAATTCATTTTGGTATGGCGTACTTCACATAAACCTCAAAATGAAGATGGTATGCATTTAGGCCCCTACAATACTGTGGCCGCGGCTGTACGGGTCGGTGTCGCTGGCTACCAGGGACAAAGTCTCGTACCTGCATTGATGGGGTTTTAGGTACCAACCCTAAAATTAGGACCCCGTTCTAATCATATCATGTTTACGTATCGGGCCCTGATTGTAGGGACTGGGGTAACGAAAACCACCGCATTATGCAGGCACAGCTGTCCTTTCCTCATGAGACTGACGACGGATGTCATGCCCCCAACCCTAAGTTTGTGGTTGTATTGGGGTAATGGAGAAACAAATGGAAAATCAAATGGAAAATGAGATCGAAACTACAACATGACATATTGGGTTATACTAGGGCTAATATAGGGATGATGCAAAAGAAAATAGAAACTGCAGGAATTACAAGGATACAAACACAACGGGAATATGTCCAACTGTGCACAGAACATCGAACAAGGACTGCGTGGGTGTAATCAAGGGCAAGCCCACCCAAACAGCGCTACGTTGGTTCGGGTTTGGGGTGTAGCGCTTAGGGCGGGGGATATAGGTACCCGTTGGAGCAGCATTAGGGTTATATTGGGGTATGCGAGGATAATGGAAAAGAAAATGGAAACTACTATAACGGGTCATATGAGCCATAGTCTAGACTCCTAGTCTCCCCCCCTGTATAAGCCCCCTTCTAAGGAGTTGAGACTATAGCTCACATTGGTTCGGGTTTGGGGTTTAGGGCTTAGGGTTTTTGGATGGATTCAAAACTGCTAGTTGCCTTGTACTGCCTGAGTTTCTCCAAATCAGCGACCGCTTTAGGGTGCATGTACACATATCTACAACAAAGCTGTGGGGGTATGGCACAACCGAATCCCTAAACCCAAACCCTAAACCCTGCACCCAAGGCACCCTGAACCTAATCCCTACCCTAAACCCTACACACTATACACCCTAAACGTACACCCTCGGGGACTGGCGTAGTACTTCATGGCGAAAAGCCGGGAACAAACATAGCAGCAGTTACGTACCCATTTTCCCTTGTAAACTCCAATCAGTAATTTCCACAGAATTTAAAGGCTATTTTCGTTACATGGCAGTCCATTTCGGGGTGTTGCTTCTCCTCGCATTGTCGTTTGTTTCTATGCTAGGGCTTCAGGACCTCCCCAGTCCACCAACCGAATTACAGCGGGGCATCCCCCAAACCTCTCAGGATCATTTCCGGTAAGAGGGGATACCGTACTGACCCCGCCAGACCCCCCGCAACCCTTTCCCAGCTGCCATGTTAGCCGACTTGCTCATGCTCCAGTTCCACAAAATTTCCAATTTGGCCGAAACAACCATTTTCCGGACAAGAGGAGATACCGTACTGATTCCGCGCGACCCTTCCCCAGCTGCCATGTTAGCCACTTTGCTCATGCTCCAGTTTTACATGGCTTCCAAGGCATCCCCAGACCTCCCCCCACACCCGCCCCAGTAAGGCCGGTAAGCTGGAACTGAGACCCCCCGCACCCCATCCCAACTGCGATATTAGCAAACTTGAAATGGGACCCGAACACCATCATTTCCTGCACCCAGAAAAGGGGATTGCGGAATACTATGGTACTCTGCTGGGGCATTCCCAGACCTCCCCACACCCGTTCCAGTCAGGCCAGTACCAATACGGTTCCACGTGGAGCAGACTACTTGAGCACCCTCAGACCCCAGACCCCCAGCAACCCAACCCTTCCCCCATTTCCATGGCGGAATAGAAGCCCGCTAACATAGCAAATGCTGATTCTTTATGAAGACGGCGCTCGCCAGGCCTGTTGTTGGGGACTACTGGGGATGGCAATTGGGGGGTGCCCATATTTTTGTTTAACATGGCGGCTCCCATGCGAGTTTGGGGGAGAGTAATCCCTAAGCCGTAAACGCGCCCTACCCTGCCTCGACGGACTGTTTCGTCGTGGACTTCGTCGAATACGGTTTGGGCTTCCTGGGAAGTACTTCAAAAGCCACCCCTTTTTTATGAATAGGGTCCCTTATACCACAACCACAATAGGGGAGAACCCTATACCCTAAACCCCTAAACCCTGAACCCCAAACCATAAATGTTGCCCTAAATCTTTATCCCCGAGTGCCAACTAGCTTCAGATCTTCATCTGGCACGTCCACATGGATGTCCTCAAGACCTGCTCACCGGGTAGGGGGTTAAGGGTTTAGGATTTAGGGTGTCAGGTTTGGGGTTTTAGGATTTAGGGTTGAGGGCCCAAGGGGTAGAGGACTGGATCCCAAAAAGAACCCACCATTTTCTTCCTCAGGACAAGAATGGCTGCAATCTTCTTTTCGATTCCTTCACTCGCTTCCAGCCACCAGTAACCCTTGCAGGCCACAACGCAGTAGCTGCTAGAACTACTTAAACCCCAGAGCTCTGTAAAATAATAGCCCTAAACCCATAATGATCGCCATAAAGGACATTATTTTACATACTTTTGGGATCAAGGGAATGCCAGATTCGATGCGAATAAATTCTATCTAAGGCAAAGACGCCATGAATCTACGGTCATTTTGGGGCCGTTGGCCTGTTGCAAATCTTGTTCCAAACGTTGGAGAGTGCTCTTGTAGTCCAGTGACGACCCGTAATCCTCGATTCCCTATGCCCGGTCTTTACCATACCGTATCTTTTCCTTTAAGGGGCCCTAGAACTCCTCCAAAAGACAAAGGGCCCATCTTAGGGGCCCATACTTCCAACCTCAGATTGCTGAGGGATGCACACGCACGACCCAACAATCAAAGTCAAATGAATGGCGTGATCTTAAACACTCATAACAGAGTATAACCCTATGGGACCCTACGTAACCCTATATGCCTGCTATAGCCAAGCGGCATTGCCCGTAGTACACATTCGACGCACACACGCCTTGCAGTGGCTGTGGCTCAAGTCCTGCTCGGCGCCTGCGCTTACCAAAGCAACTCTGGAGATCCAACCCAATCATAACAAAACAAGAGTTCAGATATCTTGAATAAAGATATCCTTGAGGTTATGCAGTTATACTACAATACAAAATCCAACCAACATTTCCTAAGGGCATAAAAGGTCATGTGGATGACAAACACATTGTGATCCCTGCCAGCCTGCAACAAGGACAACATGGACCGTCGCTCTTCAAGAAGAACCTGAGTTGAAACATGTTCAATGGAAACGACTATAGTATGATAAGGTAGTTTCCATTTTGTTTTCCATTATCCCAATATAACCCTAATATCACCCCAATTTGCACCATAAACCAAATAACCATGCTTGATCCATGGAATGCGCATTCGGCATATGAACAGGCACTGTGGCCACTGCAAGCTGCAAAAAGAAAGCCTAGCTACCCGCACTCCGGGGGGAGAGCTGACAGCATTGCAAAGTTGTTTTTCACACGTGTTTGCGGTGGGATCCCGATGCAGGACTGCCACCCCTACAGGGAGGTGCGCGGGACTTGCGGAGCGTGGCAGAAAGTGTTCTCCGCATCCACACCAAAGCCCGGCTTCCCCGTGCTAACCCGGCGGATTTTTCGTAAGGGAGGCCAGCAGCGGAATTTGCAAAGGGAAGGCTGTGTTGCTTCCTGCCGTGCTAGGTCTTGTGCCTGCGTGGACGTCGTTTGTCAGGAGCTTCCTTCGGCCTCTGAAGAAAGCATAAAACCTGCTTCCCTGCTGGCCACGCAATTTCTTCACGCGCGCACACGCGCTCTGACTTGTCAATGTCAGGCGCTCATGAGAAGAACGAATGACAGTCTCAAATTGCCACCACACTATATGGTCCATAGTCTAACTCCTAGTGTCCCCTGAATAGCCCCTGTAATAATACCGTATATAAGCCCCTTTGAAGAGTTTAGACTATGGCTCACATGGTCCAGTTTCATCTTTCGATCTCAAACGGATCCTGTAAGGCGGTGGCATGGTCGCTGCGAGTTGCTCGCCACTGGGCTTGGTTAGGCACAGGTGGGCGAAAGCGCATAGGCAATGGTGCGGACCCCTGCCCTGTAACTTAGGAGGACACCCCTCCCTGTGAAGTGGTATAATAGGAATTAAGACTTAGAGGACCCTAGTACAATCACTACTATCCCTTAAAGTCACCATTGCAGGGTGGGGTCCACCTAGCCTATATAGTTTGTTTGTAGCAGGCCCATGCGCAGGTCTGAGATCATGGGCTGCAATCGCGACATATGCGTGCAGAGACATACCTCCCTCTGGGATCTGGGCTAAGACTCTATACACCAGACCAACAGAATCCCTGCAACCACGAGACAGCATCAGCATAAACAAGGCGACCACGAAAATTACCTGAGATTGGATCGCTGAGTCAACAACACCCCATCTTAAGGGCGCGAGTGGCCTTATACAGATTACACTCACAATGAGGCCATTGTTCAGGTGCATGTGGTTCGCATGCTCCTTCTGCACTAGATGCCGCCAAACGTCACTGCAGGCGATCACAAGTCCGTACACCCACAGCATGAGCTCTCCTCCAACATCTAGCTCATCCTCAGCTGCGCAGACCATGTCTGATCATCCATAAAAAGGAGTTTCTATTTTCTCTTCCGTTATTCCCAGTATATATAATGCCTGATGCACAGGAAGCTCGGAATGGTTTAGCGGGAATGGTTTAGCGCATGCCTTCAGCTGATCTGATGCAGACCTGGTAGAGTTTTCCTTTGGCTGGCTCCCCGAGCACACTGCCGGCACCATGCAGCAAAGGGTCCCACTCCAACAAACGCAGATTTCTTTCTCTTGCTTCTTGCGAAGCACCAGCCAAGACTGCCTGTCAAGTAGGGTGACTCAGGTTCCAGATCAAGTTATGAAGGACTGTGAAGCAACACATCCAGGGCTTCTTTCAAAACGTATCAAACTGAATGCAGAGGAGCAAGCTCCATGAATCAGACGGGTGCAACCAGGAAGCGTCGTACAACATAGACCACATGTTGTACTTGTCAGCATAATATGTCGCATTCCACGTCCACACCTGCAATCGCGAGCACTACTTGCTTAATGCGCAATGATTTTGAGGATAACTCAGTCATGGCATGCGTAGACCCAAAGACCCTTGCCTCTGGTAAGTTGGCCAGCAGGAATGGGAAATTCGCTCGGATTCCCAGGAGCACATCCGTATTTCGGATCGTGCACCTGGTTCGCACGATAAAGGAAACCTGCAGCAAGGTCATCGATGCAGGCAAACGCAAACTGACGACAGCAGCAGCACCAGCACAGGCTGGTCACCAGGCACAGTATCAGTTCCAGGCACCAGCACGACGCCAACAGCACCACCGCCGCCACTTGCCACTACCGCCCCCACCCCCGCCCCGCCACTGCCACCGCCACTGCCACCGCAGCTGCCCCCACCACCACCACCACCACCACCAACAACAACAACAACAACAACAACAACAACGACGACAACAACGACGACAACAACCACCACAACACCAACAACACGGCGATGAGCACGATGGCTGGCACCGCTAGGCAATACACACGTGTGAATCTTGAGAGCCCGCCGTCATGGTGGAGTGTTGATTTGGCAGAAGGTTGCTCAGAGCGCTGTCCACGACAACCTAGGCTAACGTTGCTGTTGCAGCTGAGGACATGCCTGGATTCCAGAAAGACTGTTCAAGGACTAAGGGGGATTTGTAAGCTTTACAAGTTTACTAATTCCTAATTCCCGTTTCCGAACACTCACAATCAATGCTGATTGTGGGGGCTTTGTGTATAGGGATTGAGGACCGTCATTGGTGCAGTTGTCCAAGGCCCTGGGCCTAGAGTTTAGGGTTTAGGGTTCTTGAAAATACTTCCAAGTCAGCTTTGCGACCCCAACGCTCGGACCAACCAGACGCTGCCAGTCCTTCAGCTGTCGAATCCCCTCGTCAAGAATGAGCCGCCCACCCCTAATAATCCTAAGAACAACCCCCCAATACAGTACCATCATGGATTGAAGGAGTATTCCTTGTTTGGGGGTTGGGGCGTTTACTATTTGGGGGAAGTGACTGCGGACATATTACCGGCACCTTAGCTGTAAAGACATCATACACACTTTGGTTGTACAAAGCCCTATGGCCCTAGTGCTCCCAGTTTCTCTTTCAATTTATATGCCATTCTCCATTTTTTCTGGGCGATCTTCCAAACACATAGAATCACAGCATTTGATGGGTATACAGGTTGCTATTATGGGGATCTGGGAGGTTTAGGTACACATCCCATTGACTGAACACTGACTCGGGTCTTTGGCAACGATGTACTCCAGCACCATGCTCGACACAGAGGAGGGCTGCACGGCTACAGGGGCCCTGAGGCCGCCTTCCATGAAGACCTGGGCCGCTGTTTAGGGTTTGGGCTAGAGATGTACTTGCCCTAGGAGTTAGGACTAATTTGCTGTGGGAGTTCCATGTTGTGGAGGCTACCTTTCCACAATATGGATACATTGTGGGATTTCCTTGTTCTGGTCACGTACGTAATTTCACTGCCTCAACAGCAACCCAGGGGCTTCGTCTTCCAAGCGGGCATCCACGTCCAGCTTATGTAGTTGAAAGGGTGCATCCGTGGGGTTGCACAGTTGGCTGGCCAGCACGTGCGTCTGCCTTGAGTACGTCTTCAGGATTTAGGGCCTGAGTTTAAGGTCTCATGTTCAGGGTTCGAACATTATGGGTGTTCAATGCTGCCCATTTAAATGAATGGCCGACAATGGCCCTAAACCCCAAACCTGGATGCATCTGAGCATCATGGTGCCCGCCATCCCCAACTCCGAGAACCTGTAAGATTCCTGGATGAAAGTGTCGATCAGCCTGCACTCTCAATCATTTGGATTTATTTGGCTCGGATTCCAAACTTGGGCTGCAAGGTCTGAGGTTGAGGGCTTAGGCCTGGTGAGCGCCTTCAAACCAGCATAGCTTGCGAAGCCTGCTAAAGGGGCCTTCTCACACAGTTCGAAGATCAGGGGTCCTTCGGCATAAGGGTTTTTATTTTGGAAATCAGGTCCCCCAGACCCAAAAGCCTGGAAACCACAAACCCTAAACCCTTAAAACCTGCAACGCAAACCCCAGCCCAAAACCTTGTAGACCGCAACCCCGAATCCAAACCCCCAATCCTTGAGCTTGCATGTATCCGCACATGCCTGCCAGTCATGGAGCTGAGATAATACTCCTCCATCGGAGGGGATATGGTTCAGAGTTCAGAGCTGCGACCAGGTGCGGGTTCATCATACAGGTTAATACTGATGGCAATAGTATGTGCGTACTAGCGGGACAGAATGTGTGTGAAAACATCCTTAAAGTGGTTGTTGGAAATGGTTGCTTGGTAACAAACCCTGGAATATGCCGGAACCATTCAACACCGCCATCGAGCCTTGAACGTACCGAAAGAATTAACACCAAGCTGTATCCAGTCCGGAGAGAAATCACGCAGCACTTCCAGAAAGTCAAACATCACTATCACAACTGCTGCAGCCGCTGATGCTGGCGCTCATGCTGATGCTGGTAATGCTGGAGATGCTGATGCTTCTGGTGCAGCTGGTGGGGCTGGTGGTGCTGGTGCTGTAGCGGTGGCGGTGTTGGTGGCGTGGTGGCAGCGGCAGGGGCGCTGGCGGAGGGGGCGTTGGCGGCGGCGGCGGCGGTGGCCATGGTGGTGATGGTATGTGGAGGTAGCGATATGTGGTGATAGGTGGGGAAAATTGCTCGAGTAATTCGGTACAGGTATTTTCCGGCATAATCTCAAGAAAGGATGCTGACCGTGACCATCACCACAACCTCGCACCACCACCTCGCATCACCGCCACCACTTAAAACTACCACCACATGTCATCACCGACCAGTATCACCAAACCGGAAACCCTCGACAGCAGCAGCAGCAGCAGCAGCAGCAGCAGAGCAGCAGCAGCAGCAGCAGCAGCAGCAGCAACCGCAGCACCATCACCATCACCAGCACCGGCACCAGCATCAACGCCAGCAGCACCAGCAGCAGCAGCAGCAGCAGCACCACCACCACCACCACCACCACCACCACCACCACCACCACCACCAACGCCAACACCAGCACCAATCGCCACCAACATGATCATGATCGTCGCGGGTTCTCATTAAGACCATCATTGCAAACCACACCAATCACGAGAATGCAAGCAACGATGGCGGTGCCAGCCAAACCTTTTTTCAAGGGCACGTGCAATTGACATGACACCACTCACATCCAAACCAGGCTATGTTGTCCTGCGTATCCTCCATGAGAGGCTGGATGCTTTCCAGAATGCGAAATCCAAGAACAGCAGAGGTTAGTGCCGCAGCTACAGCGGGGAATGTCAAAGCACCAAAACAGAGACGGTACCTAAGTTGCCACGTGCGATTCTTGTTTGGCAAAGCGGCAAAGTTGTCTCCAACAAAGGCCGTGCGCTCTAAGAGGGAATCGGCCAAAAATCCGGCAAACCAGCCAAGGCACTTGAGCAAAGAATCGAAACACGTTGTCCTCAGTTAGTCCCACAATTTAGAATCATTTGCCCCCGGAACTCAAGCCCCGGTCGCTTTTGGGGGGTTGTATGGGGTTGTAAAATAGCATACGCGGGACTCCAACTCGTCGAAACATTTGGAGATGCGCTTCCGTTAATCACAAACCTTGTCAGTTCCTGACGTAACAAGGCTACATATAACTACTCTGCCAAAAACGCGAAAGCAAGTTGTTATCGTTCACAACAATGCACCCTTCCAAAAAAAACGGCAGCTGTACGGTTTTTACTTCAAGCAGCCATCGGCGAAAGCGGCTCGAATACCTGTAGCAAATGGCCACCAAGGTTGGCAACCCAACCGTGATTCCAACGAGTATGGCTAGCACTCGAGTTTGCAACCATGACTGGAACTCGGCTGCCATGGTATAGCCATCCACCCAGATTGCTTCTAAAAGCTGCGCGTGCAGCTCCAGAGTTCGCCGGTATGCAGGTGTTTTAAACCACATCGTGGTGGTTGTGGTAGTTTCCTTCACAGGGATGCAGGCATCTGCGGTAAATGAACCATTTAAACTGAATCGTGGTTTGCTTGCATCCCCCTGATCCCTATGCGGCCTCTCCCAACAGAGTCTCACAGAGAGCCGCCATCCCTGTCCGATTCTGGAGTCCAGGACACGGCCAGAAGCAACAAGATTCGCAGATCCATGGTGTTCAACCCTAACCGTACTCGCCAAGTCGTGGGCAAATTTATTGTGTGGAAGGTAAGGCAGGTAAGGAAAGTCGATAAGTGTCGGGGACCTTACTAAGAAACATGCCTATGTCCAACAACCCCACTGATGGATTCTTTATAGCGCCGGCTGATCATGCCTTCCCCGTGGAGAGAACCAATTCGCTGCGGTTGATATGATGCACAGCATAACAAGAAGATCAACAAACACTGAAACCATAGCAAAACTTGTTTGTCGGATAATCGGGTAATCGCGGAATCACCGAACATCACCGACTAATTTTGATGAAGCGCCTTTGCAACGGCTGTCCCACACACATACGCAAAGCCAACGAATAACAGTGTGCCCCAGCTCCAGGGGCCTGTAAGCCAAGTTGTGTATACCCTGTTGTGGCCGAAATCTGTTTCAGAAAGGTTGGTTAGCATGTTGAAACGCAACGATTTCCACTTCCATGCGCAAAATTGCGACGCGCAAGTCCCTCGGCTAATTCTATGTTTCTGCGGACGGCACTTCGCTCAACACGTGCCATTTCGATGAGCAGTATATTGGTCCGAAACGACCCGTCAAATCCATGCAAGCAGCCCTCGACGATTCGCATGCCATTCCCTTCTTGGCGCATTTTTTTTGGAGCAGCTCACGCTATCCCATTGCCACGGGCACAGCCCAGGCGGCTGACGTGCAAGGCGTCAAGGCCCACATGTGGCCGGGAAAGCACACGAATTTTCGAGGGCACAATGCAAGGAGAATGCTTTGTATGCCAAAGGCACCCCGCACGCACCTACCAAAATCTGAGGCGTCATCATGAAGGCAAAATGCCAACCGCAGATAATGAAGAAAACATGTGAAGCAAGAAAATTGAGCCGGTATCACTTAAAAACGCAAAACAAAAAAAACACACACACCGTCGCAATCTCGCAGTTGTTGCGACTGTTGGACAATAAGAACGATTGGGAATTTGTGTTTGGGCGCGGACCCTTCTTTTCCTCAGATCTTTTCTTGCTGGCGAGCCCGTGCTATGGGCCAGTAAGGCCTGCTGACTGCTTAGGCCATGCATGGCGCAACGTTGTGCACGCCATCACTGCTGGACCGTGATCGCAAACATTCGCAAACATTCTCGATCAGAATCATGACTACCGCCGCGGCAACCCTTACTTGGATGGGCGGGTGGGTT